AATCTGAAAGCCGATACACATACGTCCGCGTAATTATTCACAAATTTATTTATTCGCCGCCGGTTATCTGTGAAAGATTTCAATAGCACGAGGCTCGTTTGATTTACGGTTACAATTTTTCGATAAAGTCCGACGGGGAGAGATTGATTTATTACGGCGACGCCGATAACGCGGAGCGGAAGCGTCGAAGATTTCGTTTCCGCGGCTCGAGATAAGACAGTCAAAGTGTCGGGAGGCGTGACGGACAGTTTTCCGGGCGATGTCGCCGGTATCGGTGCTCCCGGAGGTGTCGTTCGGTTATTTCGGCGGTCGGTACGTGTATTATATTAGGTAACGTGGAACAGCCAACGACAGTAGCTCTAGAGGGTTAGCCCGTAATCGACATTATTCTATCATTCTATCGTGATAATCGTAAACGCAACAGTTCTAACAGTGACTCGGGTGAGGTAGAACACGACCGCTTTGTAGATACACGGAACTCGTTCAGTTAGAAACGATAAGCGTCCGTCGAGAGAACGGTTCGCCCTAGAAACTCTCGAGAGCAGCGTCTCGAGGACTGTACATACGAGTATGTATGCCGATGTTACGTAGTTTACAGATACCGGAAGCTGAAGCGGAGCGCATAGGTAGCTGTAACCGCGTCGAGAACTTTTCGAATAAAATGTAAGCGTCTTTGGAAACGATTGTATCCGCGTTCCTGGGATACCGAGTCTGAATCATCCTTCCTATTCATTCCCAGAGGTCACTTAATGTCTTCCTACATTCTTGAAACAGGATTAACGACGAGGACACTGCGCGAGGCATCTAATTTTCAATGGGAGCAACTGATTCTACAATGATGTGAGTAGTTTTATGTATACTTGATTATAAGGTTAATTCGATTATAAGTTAAGTGACATTGAGAACTGATTTTTGGTGAAACTTTAAGCTGAGAACTTCTGCAGACAATTGAATCTTTACTTCTCGAACACTGTCAATATTTCTACCATCTTGCAATTCTTAGCCTCCCGAAGATTCAATCATAAGTTTACGAATCATAAAATCTTCCTTTTATATAAGGCTCAACGTTCACTGAAATTCAAAATATTTCCAACAGCTACAAACCAGAGTTACAAGTTTCTCAAATATTACCTAAAATAGATTAAGACCAGATAAAATATACAAACCACCGATTCGAATATCGAAGTATCGCCTAGTGTTCGCGACGAGATTAGTCGTTATTTCTGTCAAGGAAAAGTCGGCGTATTTATAGGAAAAAGGAGCATCTACCAGCGGCCAATCAGTGCGTCTTGCCGGACAATACCGATTGACCCGGAATAGAGGCTCCTTTTGTTTCCCACGCGACAGCGACGATGAGTGTCACTGTCATTTGTTACTTAATTTATGTGTGAATTATCGTTGAATTAGTTTCAAACGATATCGACTATATCTCGTTATAAAATATTTTAAAATCTCTGAAACAGCGGCAAGAAGCACACAGACGCGATCAGATGTCGCCTAAACCGCAGGCTCGGCGTTCGCGCGTGAAACGCCCGCGAGTTTCGCTGTAGACGCTCGATGCCAGTTCGCCGGGTCGATGTGTACGACAAGTGAGCCGCGGATTCTATTTCCGGTTGCGCCGGTAAGACGGGAGTTGACTGTCGCGAGTCAAAGGGGAACGAGGCTCGTCGGTGGCAACGATTAACGGCCGGCTGGTTGCACACGCCGACTTCATAATAACGCGATTCCACGTGTCACGGCCGATTTCCGCTCGTATGGCCGACGTTTTAATGAGCGGGACGAGTCTATGAATCCGCGGATAATTAGCTTTTAATTAAAATCATCGCGAACGACCGCCGGTTACGGAGATTACGCAACTGGGTCGACTCGTTTCCGCCTCGTCGGGTTCGTTTCGGCTGCGCTTATCTTGCCGCTGTTCAACTGTGGATTCGGTTAATTATTTGGCGAATTTCGGGGCGAGCATGGATGCGCGCGTTAACGACGGGTATTCATTCGCTGAACGGAGGGGTTGGCTGATTTTTTATACGTCTACGTGGGAAACGCTCACAGGAGGAGCGTGTAATTTGGAATGGATACGATTGCGGATGCTCATTAAGGCTTGGAACGGTTTTTGTGCGAAGCGTAGGTGATCTTTCGGCTTTTCCGAGTCGGTTTCAGTATCGTTACGTGGCAGCTTTGTGAATCGTGTGAGCGATTAATGAGATGATTTTAAATACTTGCGGTAGAAAGAGCTTTTCTCTGTTTCTATGTTAAATTGAACGATAGACAACAGTATTCTCTATATCAATCCAAGCTCGACTAAAACCTCATTCCTCAATTCTTCTACTTTATAATTATAAATTGAAAATTACAAATTATTCCAAACTCTCGCAGAGATCAGATAAAATGCGAAACTCTCTCAGGAATGAAACGCTAAAAATTCAAACTCTACCTCGAAAAATAAAAAGTGTTACACTAGCAATCAATAAAAAATTTCTGCCTTCCGGCAATAAAAAATGAAGTACCCAATTTCCCGAATGCCTGTTAGCCGATCGAACTCTAAAGACCGTATCCACGGTAAATAATTAGCCGACCGATCGCGTCGCTTCGCGCCCTCTTTTCGCGGCGGTTTTCCCTCCGTCAGATTTCCCTCTCGAAGCTCGTCTCGCCGTCGTCCCCATTGTCTTCCCTTCGACGAGACGATGTCTGAGCGAGTTAAAGGCCGCGCGATGTTGCCCGCTTCCGGGACGTTCGCCGCCGCGGAAGAATGTTCGCCGCCCCGTAAACCGGGGAATAAGAATTCCTCGGTGTCAGTCGGCGACGCCGGAAACGGGTCGTCCGGGCGCGAGGTATGCGTCAATATATGCGAAATGTTCCCTTGTTTCGAGTCCCGTCGCGACGTCACTCGCACCTCTCGCCGGGAGATTCGCGCCGAAGTCTGCCGACCGGGGAATCTGTAATGGAAGAATCATCCTCCGCCCCCGGGACACCGTGAATCTTCGGGAGCCGTGACAGCGGATTTTAATTAAACGCCCCGCGAGACGCGCGCCGATGTTTCTTGAGTTTTATCGGATTCTTGCCGCGGATTCTGATACCGTATTCATAAAGCGGAAACTATCGTGTTGTTTTCAGAAACAGCAGGTGCCTCCGATAGGAAATTCGAGGATTAACGCTTAACGCACTGGGTCATTTGAACCGTTTATTCTAACTGTTGGTGTTGCACTTTAACCCTCTATGGGCTAATCTAGATGTAGTTCTTTTAAGTGTCGAGAGACGTAATCTAAGTTTAGTTTTACTTTCTCCTAGTAAAAAGATAAACTCGTAAGATAGTGATTACTCTTAATATAACTTGAACGGTTCTATTAATTCT